CCGTCCGCTTCAAGAAGGACCACTCGCTCACCGGGCGCATCTTCGCCTTCGACGCCGCCGCCCGGCCGGGCTACGAGTACGAGCTGAAGCTCTTCGCCGAGTACCCGTGCGGCTCGGGCAACGTCTTCGCCGGGGTGCTGGCCGTGGCCAAGCAGATGTTCCAGGACTGCCTGAAGGAGCCCGGCAAGGTCCTGTCCTCGGGCTACAAGTACCTGGAGTACGAGAAGCGGCACGGCTCGGGCGACTGGCGCCTCCTGGCCGAGCTCTTCACCGAGGCCGTGCGCTACTTCCGCGAGCCGCCCGCGCCCGACGCGCTGCCCCAGCAGTTCCTCGACGGCTCCTCCGCCACCGGGCCGCCCAACGTGCTGCTGCGGGCCGCGCCCCCCGCCCGCCCGGGTTTGAGACGCCGCAAGGCTTCCCCGGAGCCCGAGGGGGAGCTGGCGGCCGGGAAGCTGACGGGCGAGGAGCAGCTACAGCAGCGCCAGCACTGGCTGCCCCCGGGATCCTCCACCGGGCTCTACCCGCCCCCGGGCCTGGCTCACCTGCCCGCCCAAGCCGGCCTGCCCGAGGGCTCCCTCCGCAACGACCCCTCGCCCATCACGGCTCTGAAGAACGTGGCCGACACGCTGGGTGGCAAGGAGCTCAACCCCGTGCACTCCACCACCGCCCGGCAGAACAGCACCAGCCCGGCTTCGCCAGCCGCCTCGGGACCCCACCGCCTGGTGCCCCGCAATGGAGAGCCGGGCCAAGCAGCCACCACCACCACCTCTTCTTCATCCTCCTCTTCCTCCTCGTCTTCGTCCTCCGGAGCCCACTCTTCCGGGGCGGCCGAGCCCAGCGGCACCCAGAGCGCCCCCGACTCCTCCGGAGGGGCTGGCAGCGCCCCGCTCTGCTGCACCATCTGCCACGAGCGGCTGGAGGACACCCACTTTGTGCAGTGCCCGTCGGTGCCGGGCCACAAGTTCTGCTTCCCCTGTTCACGGGATTTCATTAAAGCCCAAGGAGCTGCGGGCGAGGTGTATTGCCCCAGCGGGGAGAAGTGCCCCCTGGTGGGCTCCAACGTGCCCTGGGCCTTCATGCAGGGCGAGATCGCCACCATCCTCGCGGGGGACGTCAAAGTAAAAAAGGAGCGCGATCCGTGAAGGCGGCCGAGAGGAGCGGCTGCGATCCGGGACGGTGTGCCACGGGACGCCCCCTACCAACATTGGTTCCTGCAGCCAGGGCAGGGACTGGAGTAACTTATTGCCTCTCTGACATCCTCTGCAACCCGCTGCGGACTTGGGGGGCCTGTATATAATTCTATTTTTTAAATCCTATTTCCATAGCCAGCTTATATCTGAAGTCACATCTACGTAACCTACTACAGGGGTGGGGAGGGGTGGGGGGTGGGTGGATGGACTACTCACTTGCGGGATGGGGAGACCGAAATGCGGGGTTGACGAGCTTGCCGGATGCATTTCAGAAGTTTCTTGGGGCATCCTGCTCGCCGTGAAGATGCTACGCCCCCTTTTTCTCCGATGTCTTGATGTTTGACTCTTTCCCGAACCAGAACACTTTCCCAGCCCCACATCGGTCCCTTAGGTGCTATTTAATCCTGGTTGAAGCTTCACTTTCTCACGTTCCCCCATTCCACTGCATTGGGAGGCCTCCTCCCCGTTGTGGGGGGTCAGTCTCCGTACGTGTCGTTGTCACGGCCATCACAGCCCATCACTGGACACTGTTCTGAATCTGTGCACCTTTGTTGGGAAGTTCAGAAGTCTGCTGTGTGGATCCAGGGAGGGGAAGGGAAGGGAAGGAGGCATGCTGTGTGGGGATGGTTGGAGGGGGAGAAGGAGAAACAGGGCCGGGGAAATTAGGGGGAAGCAGTGTGGCAGGAGGAAGAGAGGGATGGACAAAGTGCCTCGCGTGTTGATCTTCAGTTAGGCGGTGGGGGGGTATTTTTCATACCAAAAGACTAAGCATGCACGCCAAAAATAAGGGTGGTTTTTGTTGTTGTTAAAATGCATAATTTGTCAGGTGGAAGAGAGGAGAGAAAGTCCTAGAAAGGCCAGGATTGAGAGAGGTGTGCGGAGGAAAACATGGAATATGGACCTAATCCGCTGCCATTTCCTTTCTGCTGCACAAGCTCCCTTGAAAGAATAAGAGAAGAAGAGAGAATACGTCTTCAGGTGTATTCCTATCTTAAAGATGAGCTGGGCTTCCACACCCATGCTCCTCAGCCAGCCGAGGCTGGGAATAATGGGCACAGGGGTTCAGATTGGATGAGGAGGCTGCTCTGGGGTGCTGTGCGTTTTATCCTTGCTCAGGATGGCACTGGGCAAAAAAAAATCCAACAACCCACAAGTTCAGTTCTGCTTCCTTGCCTCCTCCAGAGGAATCCTGGGACAGAGGAGACTCTCCTGGCGGCCAGGAAAAAAATTGGATTCTTCATTCAAGAAGGGTGGCCATAAATCCATAAAGGGAGGGCGGAGGAATGGCACACGCAGTGTGACGGGATTTGGAGGTGCAGGGGACTAAAATACAGGCACCACCCCATAACCTCTGATGTGTGTGTGCGCGTGTGTGTGTGGTTCCACATCTGTTTCACTTGTCGGTAGTTCTGCTGACTTTGGTGTGTGTTTGTGTTGCAACGGGGGGGGCGGGGGGGAAAGAGGTCAGAGGGGAGAAAATGTGGGGATCAGATTCCCACATTGAAAACTGGGGAGAGGGAGAGAGAGGGGGTTAAATTTGTTTTTGTATTTTCTTTTACTTGTCTATGTCAATAAACTTGGTTATCTTTTTTCCCCCACGGATTCCTCTCCTTCTCCACTGTTGTGTGTCTGTGCATGTACTGACACACACAAACACACCTTATGTGCAGCTTTGCTGGTCATCTGAAGTTGCCCTTTATCAAATTTGTCAGGAAGGTGAGCTATGATGATGGGCCCCTGGTCTCTTATCTCATTTCATGGACAATGCCTGAGTCCAGAAGGGATGGACGGTGGCGCCACCTAAAAGGCCATGTCACCAGCAAAACAGGCAGTTGTTGACGATCAACAATTTCACATAGCAAAGGGCGAAGGTGTAAGAGAATGATAAAATAACAAGAGTTGAAAGGGACCTTGGAGATCATCTAGTCCAAGCAGGAGATTCATGCTAGCTGGGGAATTCTAGGAGTTGAAGTCCACAAGTCTTGAAGTTGCCAATGTTGGACTCACTTGCCTTATTCTATTCTGGACAAATGGCTGCCCAATCTTTTCTTGAAGACTTCCAGTAATGGCATTCTCACAATTTCAGAAGATTAATTGTTCACACTGTCAGGAAATTTCTCCTCAGTTTTAGGTTGAATCTCTCCTGGATAAGTTCCCATCTATTGCTTCTTGTTCTGCTTTCAGGTGTTTTGGAGCATAAGTTGACCCCCCTCTTCCTTGGGGCAGCCCCTCCTCAAATATTGGAACTCTTGCTATCATGTTGTCCCTTGTCCTCCTCTTTGTTAGACCAGACATTCCCAATTCCCGCCACTATTCATCTAGAAGAGTTCATGGGGAACTGGAAGACCAGGCTACCCAAAGCTACCCTAGAAAAGGGAGAACCCCTCAGCCCCAGCTCATGAAGCTGCGATGCTCACCATGTTTCTCAACCTCAGCTCTGTTGCAAGGTGACCTCCCACCAAGAAGTGGCTTCTCCAGTTCAGACCTCTGAAAGCAGCAGTCTGAAAAGGCAACAGTTGGAGGAAGAACCAGGGGCCTTCTCCCAGCCTCCTTGCTTGCCCACCTCTGTGCCCTTAAGCTGGGTCAGCTGAAGCCTTGGCAGATCCGGAGCATGTGAGTTCCTTCTCATCACTCCTCTGCAATCAAGCATCTATAGCAGGGCTCTCCAAACCTGGCCCCTTTAAGACTTGTGGCCTTTTAAGACTTGTGGACTTCAACTCCCAGAATTCCCCAGCCAGCTATGGATTTCTGGGAGTTGAAGGACACGAGTCTTAAAAGTCTTGTGGAAACATTCTTTGGCTTATGCGATAGAAGGAGAGTCAGTGGAAGGAGTCAAAGAAAACCCCAAATAAGAAGAACGGCACCAGCTTTTGTGACTAGGACACTTTCGTGAGCTGCAGCTAACTTTGTGAAGTCGCATCATAACACCCATCGGTTAGGGCCAGGGGTTTGATCCATGGCGATAGCTGACCTCTTCCCTTTTTGACCCCTTCCTGGGGATGCCTCTATATTGAGCCATTTACAGTAGAGGAAGTCTTCAACCACCACAATTGAGCTCCAAATTTCCTTTGCTAAGCAAGACAGTCGTTAAGTGAGGTTTGCTCCATTTCCCGACCTTTCTTGCCACAGTTATTAAGTGGGTCACTGCAGAAATTAGGAACATGGTTGTTAAGCAAATGGCTGCCCCATTGACTTGTCAGAAGGTGGCAAAACAAGATCACACGTCCCCAGGTCACTGCAATCGTCACAAAAAGGAACCAGTTGCCAAGTGTCCCCATTTTAATTAAGAAATCCTGGAGATGCTGCAACGGTCGTAAGTGTGAAAAATGATTATAAATCATTTTTTCAGTGCCATTGTAACTTCGAACAGACACAAAAGGAATGGTAGTAAGTCCAATCTCTTCTTAAAAACTTCCAGGGTTGGAGAATTCACAACTTCTGGTTAATTGTTCTCCCTGTCAGGAAACTTCTCCTTAGTTCTAGGTTGGATCCCTCCTTGATTAGTTTCCATCCGTTGCTGCTTCTCCTGCTTTGGAGAATCGGTGGACACCCCCCCCCCTTCTTTGGGGCAGCCCCTCAAATATTGGAAGTCTGCTATCAGATCACCACGAATCCTCCTCTTCCTTAGAGCAGACACAGCCAATATATCTCTGCTTGGTGTGAAGTAGGAATCACAGTATGTACAATGTGAAATAAATTGAATACATCTGTAGGCTGCAATATTTTTGTCATTGCCAAGCTGCAGAGTGGCCGGATACAAAACAGTAGCCAGATCAGGATGAAATGCAGCAAGTTCTGACAGGTTCTGGAGAACCAGTAGCGGAAATTTTGAGTAGTTCGGAGAACTGGCAAATGCCACCTCTGGCTGGTCCCAGAGTGGGGGTGGGAATGGCGATTTTGCAGTATCCTTCCCCTGCCAGGCCCACCAAGCCACGCCCCCAGAACCGGTAGTAAATAAATATGAATTTCACCACTGATGGTGTTCCCCTTAATAGAGGTTGCCACTTCCATCAAGTTCAACCAAGCCTTGGTTGTGATGTCATTTAGCCAACCACTTTCTTGCAACGGTATCCCTTCCACCAGGTGGCAGAGGGACCTGGTTTCCTTCGCTTGCCAGCGCCAGATAGCTAGAGAGCGCGGTAACTTTTTAACTGTCAACCAGCAGGAGGAGTGTGGGGATAAAGAGGTAGCTTTATAAAGCCTCAGACCTGTCCAGGTGACAGTCCTTCAGACACCGGGAGACGACCTCGGGACAACTAGCAGTCCAGGTTTCGACCGTCGACGCAAACAGCTTGTACATCCCAAAGGCCGCCCCCTGCAAGCCCACCTGGACCTTGGGTCCCAAAACTGGATGGATTGCCCTATAATCATGGAAACCTGTTGACTCTTCTGACTTCTGGGCATCTTGAGTCTTTGGCTCCCAAAGTGCCACTGCACACTTTGGAAGAAAGGAAAGGCAGACAATTTCTTTCTTTCGGTCGGAGGGTTTAGGTTGAGTTTCAAAACGAACACCTTTGGGGGAAGAAGAAGAAGAAGAAGAGGAGCCTTAAATTAAAGTGTTAAAATTTCTCCAAGAAACCAACTGGAGGGTTTCCCACTCTGCTTGAAATTTTAAGCACGGACAAGCCATTATTTTTCCTCTCCGGGATTTTGGAATGCTGGGCTCGGTCAAAATGGAATCGCACGACATCTCCGAGTGGACCTCGTACTACAACGAACCCACAGAGGTACGTGGAGCGGAAGGCGGGTTTTTTTTTTTTAAACAAGAAGGCGTTTTGAAGGAATCTGGGTGGTTTCGGGGAAAGAAGAGTTCTATACTTCCTTCATGGTGCGATGCATGTGTAGAAAATAATGACGGGTCCTGAGATGGAATTTCACAGAAAAAGTAGGAAAATATACCAAATATTACAAATAGCAAGATGGTCCATTTGCCCAGGGGAGAAAACTGAACTAAACCAAAACTAAACTAAACCACTTTAAATTAAGATACATATTAAACTAAAATAGACTGATCATATACGCTGGTTGAGTTTTGCATTTTGATTATTATTATTTCTTATGGCGTAACATAATTTTTGCTAATGAAAAGGAAAAGGAGTTACCACTTATAGCAGAGTTCAATGATATTTAACAAGAGAGGAATGGACTCCCAA